AGATTTGGTTAGGAATAGTGCCTACTCTCTTGAAAATGCTCTTCCAGATACAGTTAGGACTGCAGAGTCTGTAGTTCTGGAACATACATTCCAGTAAAGGGAGCATACCATGTACAAATAAATATATATTATTGTTGGAAGTAGTAATTATGCTAAGAATGAATAAAACAAGGAAATCAAATAGTAACAAGGGTGCTATTTTAGATAGAATGATCATAGTTGAGGCTTGTTGTGGAAGTGATAATGAATCAAGAACATGGTTTAAATTACAAGGGAAATTGTGTTAAATAAACATTAAGAAGATTGTGGTTAAATTGAGTAGACCAAATTCACAATTCCAATTTTCTGAAAATATATCTACTAGTATATACCCAAGATTTAGGAGACTAGATATTCTGCATTATGATTGCCACTATCTCTTATTTTCCAGGCATTTCATGATAGGCACAGAAAAGTATGTTTTTTTTTAAAAGTGTTTGCCTGTGTGTGTGTGTGTGTGTGTGTGTGTAGGGCCTGAGGAAAGGAGCTCATATATTCATGGGAATTCGTGCATCAGAATGGCATAGAAGTATCTTGCAGTGGAGTGGTTCTACTAAAATAGTCTCTTATTCCCAACTTTTATGAATTTATAATCCATATTACTTAATATTTCTAATAAATATAAAACTTTAATAGTTTCATCACCTAGCACATGGAAATTTTATGTATATATACTGAACATGACTATTCTACTGCAAATTAGTACGTTGTAATTTTTGTTGGGTGGTATTTGTCTAGCAAACAATAAAGAGAAGGAAAGAGTTCTGAGAACTAATTTAAACTAGGCAGACTTCTAAAATTAGTAACCTTTACCTTTATGCATATTTGCCACCAAAATTTATATATATATATATATATATATATATATATATATATATATATATATTCATTGTGTATGAATTTAAAACAAGGGTATTAGTGGGGAGCATCTGTTTGGGGTTGATGCCTTTTCTTTAGAGTGATTTAAGCTTTATCATATAGAATGGGAGGACAATTCGCTGATGGCCTAATGTTTATAACGCAGTGCTGTGTTGGTGGAGATGATGCACTTAGCATTCAGATGGTTGCATCTCTTCCTAGAGAGCATGTGCTTCTTAGTGAAAAAGAATAAATGAGGTAAACTATGTTTGACAATATTCTGGCCTGATAGCTAGTTTAATATTTGATCATAAGATAGTTATTATTATGTTATACCCATCATCAGATTCTATTAAGTGCCATTCCATTAAATTCAATTACTAAGGTTTAAAAATTCCTTAATAATATCTTGCAGAGTGATAACATTCTGCCAATTTAAAGTCATTTATTTTATTTGGCTAGACTTTAGTTTGTCTAGTTACCACATCATTTAAAAACTACTGTGTGCCTCAACTTGACTTAATTTTATGCTGGTTTACCTAAATTCCATTTATTATGCTGTTCTTTTTAAAATATTTTAGTGATCTTATCATACACTTTATGCGTTTTCTTATATCCACAGTTATGGCAGATTGTCTTTGTTAATCTTTATTATACAATCTGCAAGAATCTGTTTGCTAATTTCTACCATTGATCTAAATTTCCTGAAGTCTATTTATATAATTAATATGGCACTTTGGGATTCCTCCAAAAAATGGTGTACTACAAAGTAAAACACGAATGGTTTGCTATTATTTAGCTTTGATACCTGGCCAAAATATAGTTCTTATTTTAAGATAAGATCACTCTATCAATAAAGAAAATAAAATTAAAGGAATATTAAAACTGAGTTATACCAAGAGATAGTTTGGCCTTCTGCTATTACAAACTAGAAATAAGGTTTCTTATTATAAGAATATAAGAATACTAGAGGCCTGATACACGAAATGCGTGCAAGAGTAGGCCTTCCTTCCCCTGGCTGCCGGCACCGGCTTCCCTCTGGCAACTGGGACCTGAGCTTCCCTCTGGCTGCTGGCAGGCACCCGGGAACCTAGCTTCCCTCACAGCCCCGGCTTTGTCTGGAAGGTCGTCCATAAGGACATCTGGAAGGACATCCAGTCAATTAGCTTATTACGCTTTTATTATTATAGACTAGAGGTCTGGTGCAGTGATTCATGCACAGGTGGGGTCCCTTGGCCTGGCCTGCAGGGATTGGGCTGAAAATGGCTCTCTGACATCCTTCACAATGTCCCAAATTGTGAGAGGATGGTTCTCAGGTGATGCACCCCGGAATCGGGCTCCCTCCTCTGTGGTTCCGGGTGTGTCACTGAGGACCAAAGCTGCCAAGTGTCTGCAGCTTGGCAGCTCTGCATTGAATGTCTTCCCCCTGGTGGTCAGTGCACATCTTAGTTTCTGGCTGGTCAGCCAGCCGGTCATTTAGGCATACACACACACACACACACACACACACACACACACACACACACACACACACTAGAGGCCCGGCGCACAAAATTCATGCGTGGGTAAAGTCCCTAAGCCTGGCCTGCAATCAGGGCCATCTTCCCCAGCTGCCTGCAGCCAGCCCCACCCCCCACCGCCATCCACCCCCAGTTCCCTGTTCGCCATTGGGAGATCGGTGCTTGATGGCTGGGGGAAGGGACTGAGAGGTCAGCTGTTCCCTCCCTCCTGTTTGCTGGCCCCAGCCCCGTAATGGGTGGCCATCAGGCTATCTGACCCTGCTGGCCAGGGAAAGGGACCAAAAGGTGGTCAGTGTGCCTCATAGTGACTGGTCCAGCGGTTGTTCTGGTTGTTCTGCCATTAGGGTCAAATGCATATTACTCTTTTATTATATAGGATAAACTAGAGGACCAGTGCATGAAATTCATGCACAGGTAGGGTCCTTAGCGGCTGCTGGCGGGGGCCTTCCTTCATTCTACGCCGCCCTCTGGTGGTCAGTGCACATCATAGTGAGCAATTGAACTCCCAGTTGGTCGAACTCCAGAGGGGACACTTTGCATATTAGGCTTTTTTATATATAATATATATATGTGTGTATATATATATATTTCCCCAAATATATCATGTGGTAAAGGTAACAAATCTCTGATCACTTAAGAATTCTCACATAATTAAATAATCACAATTTTCTCCTTAATATTTCTTTATTTTTAAATTAACAGTTAAAACAGTTTGTAAACTAAAATTGTGGAAAATGTATATTGCCAAGTAAATAATGCAATATAGTCATAGAAGCAAATGAAAAAAGATATTACTTTCAAAATCCTAAATTATGTATATGAGTCTCCACTAAAAGAGTTCTAATACAAGTTTGGCAGTAAGTGGAATAGTTTATACTTTTTTTCTTCTTACTTTACAAGTCCATTCCTAGTCTTCCCAGTCCAATAAATTAATAGCTAATTTATGTTCTTTAAGTACATTCTTCTTAAACATTTCTAGTTTGTAGGATATTTAAAGGTATTTTCATTGGTAATTTTAAGCATATACAAATGTATTAGTAGAGAATTGGATTTTAAGGAGCAAATAAAATATAATAATGTGTTAAGGCTATTGAAACCTATATAATCTTATTAACCAATGCTACCACAATACATTTAATTTAAAAATAAAATAAATAAATAATACTTATTATCATTGTCCAATATGTTTAATAATGACATTTTTTTTTTGTTTCGTTCATCCTTTTTTTTTTCTTCTTCACTTGTATGAGTTTTTTTATTGTTGAAAATTGTTTTGTTCATCCTTTATATCCTGTCATCTGGAGCAGTGTCTGGCACATAAAAGTCCTTTATACATATTTGTTGAAAGAATAAATGACTAAATAAATAAATGAATAGTAAAAGAGGAGTGACAGAGTATTTTCATTAATAAATACCTGCTTTGAAAAATGTAAGCCTATAATTATGAAAGAATAATCTATATTTAAAACAAGTAATTTATATTTAAATTTTAATTTAAATAAACAACAGATACTCTAAATTAAAAAATAAATATAACTGGAAACTCAGTTAATTAACAAAGGACAGACTAGCATTCAAACACAAAAGCTGGAAGAGTTAGGATAAGAGACTTAGAACACAAGTGTTAAAGTCTAATAGAATCAGACATTGGGTTAGCTGGCCCAATAAATGTACGTTTGTCAATATGCACTTTCTGAAAATTTGACTCTGGCATTAATGTTTATAGCAACATAAATTATTTGTATTTTTTCTTAAGTATGTACATTTTTGTCAAAATTTCTTGGAATTAATACAGTTTTGCAGTTCAGTGTGTGTATGTGTGTGTATACATATATGCAATTGTCACTTTTTATTAGAAATATATTCAAGGTTATTTTTAGTTGGCAACCCTGAAACTTTTGGACAGAGTAAACTGTGCATGAATATTAATTGAGAAGTCATAGAGTGCACAATTTCTACTTAAAAACTGAACACAAGCTAATTCTTTTGGAGTTGCCTGGTAACTAATAAGGAGTATGTCAAATTGAAAGACAGGTCTGACTGAAGCAGCCCTTGAATAAGTAATGGAATTTGTTGTCAACTTTAGCGTCAGAGAGTGAGATAGGGACCAAGTCTAAGTTAAATTGAAGGAAAGACAGTTGAAATGTCCTTTGTGTTTTTTAGTGAAGTCTCCACTGTTTGCTCTTAAACTCTTCCCCTCACCAACAACTTATGATTAATGTAGAGATGTTGAAGGCAAATTCTGAACACATCATTCATAATGTTTGAATTAAATGGAATAGCCTAAGGCATTGAGAGGCATGACAAGCTATTTTTTATTCATTAACCATTTATTCATTTATTTATACATTTATATTCATATAATGTATTGGGTTCTTAGAGAAATTTATGTCCACTAAGAATGATTACTACTCTAATAAAAGATTTGGCATAAGTATTTGTTAAGGTGAGAATTGTATTACAATCACTCCTGGGTATATGTACAACAAAACATTTAGACAAGTCTTTAATTATATTAATGCTTTATAGCAGGCTGTTGAACACATATATACAGATTTTGATCTACTTCTGTTTTAATTCCAGCAGGAAAAAAGTCAAGAAAGTTCAAGAATCAAAGGTAAGGAATAATTGTTTTAAGATTATAGTCTCATAAATTTATGTAAGCATAGGAGAAGAACTATAAAAGATTTGATGATTCTTTGGAAATTTAGTTAAAATTGGGAAACGGAATTCATCTTCAATGTGGTTTTAAAACCATTGTAAACCGTTTGGGGAAACTTTAACACAATTTTCTGCGTTCCCTCATTTGTTCTCATGGAATTCCTCCATCGAGCATTGTCCATAAGAGTTGGTGTTCTGTCACATCCATGATTTAGCAGATGAACTTTTTCGAATATATTTCATGGACAACCAATTATTTAGTCACTGCTGTCTCTTTTTATTTTCTATTCGTGCACCAGTGGGGTCCCTCAGCCTGGCCTGTGGTATCGGGCAGATACCAGCTCTCCGACATCCCCTGAGGGGTTCTGGATTGTGAGAGAGCACAGGCCAGGCCAAGGGACCCCACTGGTGCACGATTGTGGCTGGGGAGGGACGCGGGAGGTTGGCCAGCCGGGGAGGGACCATGGGAGGGCTCCAGGGCGTGTCCAACCCATCTCGCTCAGTCCCAATTGGCAGGACCCCAGCAGCAAGCTAGCCTAACGGTCGGAGTGTCTGCCCCCTGCTGGTCAGTGCACGTCATAGCGAGCAATTGAGCAGCCTTAGCATATCATTAGCATATTACACTTTGATTGGTTGAAAGGATGACTAAACACTTAGCATATTAGGCTTTTAATATATAGGATTAAAAAGCAAGAAAATACTTATGTCTAAATTAAAATCAGTGATAGTTTTTAGTGTGGCATAGTCAACTCTAGTCAGACATAGGGAGACATGTTTCACCAGAAAGACATTGTTAAGTTTTGAAGTTTGGCCATTGAGCTAATAAATGATTCTAGGAAGATAGTAATCTTACCTGACTGTTTGTGTTGTTTTTCAGCAAACTATAGCTAGGTTTGTTATTTTATATGTGAAATTATTACACTTATTTATCCCCGAAACACTCATATTAACTCAAAGTTTTATGCTTTTGTGTTGCAAAAGGGAATTTCTGTTCCAAGATGTGCTGGATGGTGTGCATTTAAATTCTATAAGCATTGTAAGCATACTGAGCGCACATCTTCCTTCTCATGAAACATCCTAGTGTTTTAGGTGAATCTTAAATCACATTTATAATTCTGTTATATTGAAACAGGTTTAGTGTAGCTTTCTTCTTGATGCTTTATTGCCTTGGGGTACATAAATCATACCATCCTAAGTAGTGGAAATTATTTTCCAACTGCTGTCTAGGAACATGTTTTCTTTTATAATGTAACACAATTTTTAAGATGATGCTTGTCACTGCTTTTACTGTTACTGGCTGACACATGGTTTTGAACTGTCACACTATGGCTTCTAGAGTACTGTATTCTAAGTCAGAGATGCATGGCCACATCAGGACTTGTTGCTTAGCTCTACTTAAAAGAACTCTACAGTTTTGACAGTTTATAGGAATCATCTGGAATGTTATCTTACGGGAAATTATGGATAACCCATTAAAATGTTTTTGAATATCAATATTAAGAGACATTTAAGCCATTGAATCTATAGTTTACCCATTGGTAGATGACAAAAATTCTGAAAATCAAATATTGTACCTTTCTTGATAACTAATTTTTGAAATGTAAGCTATGTCTTCATGTGATGTTCGTAACCAATTATCAGTTAGGGAATTTCAGGCCTTTCTGACAAATTGGAAATCTCATTTGGCAGATCTTGTTTATTACATTACCAGGTATGCCTACAGAGGAAGTCTTTAATCTTCTAATTTCCTGGGTTCTATGCTTTTTTTCTGATATGACAACAATCGCAACCTCATAATACTCATAACTTAGAATTACATTAACACCAAAGCACTCTAATGAAAATAGAACCCTCTTTTCTCCATGCATTAGAGATGTTTATTGAAATATTTTGAAACTTTCAATTGTATCTTTAATTATTTGACATTCACACAAGTTCTTATTCTAAAATTATTTTGAAATACCATTGAAATTCATATTTTATATATTCCAAGATTACATTTACATGAAATTTACCTGATAAAATGAATTTTTATTCAATAGTTAATATGCTATTGGTTTCTCAATTGATTTTTGTGCTTCAATTGCCTATTTTTAGATGAGTTAAAGCCTAATATATTTAGTACATAATTTTGAGGTTTACAGTATTTTGATATCCTTCCATGAAGTTCATTGAAGATAATAGCAGAGAAGTGAAGACAGTCCTACAGTTTTGAAAAAGGATCAACTATTTAGGAAGTCATATTTCACAATGTTCTTCAGTGACACTATGGCTATGTTAAAATAGGATACATTATGCTTTTAATATTGATTGGAAATTTTATAAGTATTACTAGGAATTAATTTCCTTTGAAGAATAGTTCTAATATAAGGATCCCCAAAAATCAATCTCTCCCAATATTATTCAGGGGACTATTTTAATTTGTGATTTCTTTATTCATGTATATTTAAGATAATCATTCTACAGTTCTCAGTGATGAAATAATAACATTTTAAGAAAATGGCTTAAAATTCTGTCACCTTAGTTGAGTTTTTAATTTTCCAAAATAGTTTAAAATATTTACTACAATCAGAAGGATAATATCATCGTGGAGAGTTTGCATATGGTTATGCTGTAGCAAGCTCCTAAAATATCAGCTTTCCCCTTGCTCAGTTGAAAAAAAAAGTTACTTAACTTTGCATTCAGTTGAAAGACCCAGCTGCATTCATCACACAATTTTTCCCTTCTCTCTTTCAAGTGGACATTCTTCACTCTTCCCATTCAAAAATAATAAAAATAAAGCACATTCCTCTTTCATTCCTAGCTATATTTTGGGTAAGTCTCTAAAAATTAGGTCAGGTAGCTAGTTGGGAATAGTGAGTGGATAGGAATGGACTGTCAAATTCTTATTTCTAAAAGCCATTGGACATATTACATTAACAAATGAAAGTATTATGTAAAGCTAAAAGATGGTAAGTCATATATATGAGCCCTCTATTAGACTCTTTGTCTAATTGTTTCCATGTCTTTATGTTTAAGAAATAAAATATAGCTGGTACAATAAGTAATACCTGAAATGGAAATTCTTACTGTTATATGAAATTGAGTTACTATATTTTTAACAGATTACAATGTTATACATTATGAATGTTAAGTTCCTTGGCATTTCAATTTAGAAAACTATTGCTGAGGCAAACTGCCGGGGTCCAACCCCAGCAGGTTCAGGGGTTCCCAAAGGCGTAGACGGAGTCGGCGAAGAAGGAAGGACACGGAGACAGCGTTCAGTTGATCAGCAGCCTAGCCAGGATCTCTAGCCAGGATCTCCAGCCAAGTTCTGGTCTGGATCTCCAGCGAAGTTCTGCTGTTTATTGTCTTGTTACATCCGTATTTATACCAGTTGATTTTAATCCCTGTCAATTTCTATTACAAAGGTTAGGGCGTTTCTTATCTCCATTCCAGGGAGTAAAGATTATGTAGCTTAAGCATGATTGTTTGTAGTTAAAGTGATTAACTACCCGCCTGGCACTAAGTTAAGGAGTTTCATCCCCTCCCTAACTTCAGGGAAAAATCCCTACCTGGGGAAACAACCTTTCTTGGAGAGGTGACCTTGGTTAAAACACATAGCGCTAAGGGGAGCAAACATATTAAGAACAGTATGCTATATACGCCAGGTCCCTTGAAACATATGCTGTGCAGATGTTTCTATCCTGCAGCGACTGTGTCAAGCAGCAAGGATGGACCGGCTTCCGGCAAATTCCCCCTTTTTTATTTTTTAAATGATCACGCATGCAAATCAGTGGCCACCTCTCAGATTGGGCCATTTAAGTCTCGGAAGAAGAGTGGCAAGCAATGATAGTGAGCATAGCTATAAACATAGTGGATGGAGCGCAGAAGGAGCCCCATTCCTGTAGAAGGTTGCCAGCCTCTTCAGTCAAGGGATTTCAGCTGTCCTCAAGTTGTTGGTTTGATTGTCTTTGTTGGTCTGGCTAGCGGGCGGCGTCACTGGCGACAGGCTTCCCAAAGCGTCAGCAAGTTGAAGGGCTGCATCAAAGGGTCCATCAGGGCCGTGGTTGATGGTGGTGTCAATGTCCGAGGAGGAGTAAGCTGTGCCCTCTGGATCCAGCTGATATGGAAAATGGAGGGTAGTAGAAAAAGAAGAGAAAGCAAAAGAACTACAAGGCATGGAAGTGTTTAGAAAAAAGAGGGAGAAGAAAGGGAAGAAGGCAGCATCCTGACACAGCCCTTTCCTTCAGCTTCCCCTTTCCCTGTGGTCCCAGGTAGAAATGGGAAACAAGTCCTGTTGCAGTGAGAGGGCAGCTGCTGTCAGCCAGTCTCTGTCTTTACCTGGGTCCCGATCTGAGCTGGGCATGGGAAGCAGGAAGCAGCCATGGGGACAGGAGACCTTCCTCAGAAGGGGCGAGTGTTCAAGCCCCTGCACCATTGGGGAGGGGGGTCTGTGCCCCACCTTTGTTGCACCCCAAGTTTTCTCCTACTGGCCCCCAACTGTGCCTGTCTTAGGTTGCCCCACCCTGTGGAGTCTTACCCGTCGTTGACTACCAGCCATCTCTGGGCCAAGTAGGGTGATGTGAGGTTCAGTTTTGTCTCCTTGATAGCCTATGTCCCTCTGGCCTCCATGCCCAGAAACTGCCTTTGGATTCCCTCGCCTGCTGGCGGGGCTCTGGCATTGATCATAGGGAACTCAGGTTTCTTCTCTAGAGAGGGCCCAGCTTACGCCATTGGGCCAGAGACAGATCCATGGTACCAGCCACCATGAGGCTTCAACCTCAGCATGAACAGAGAGCTCAGGCAACAGCTATGGGCAATTGGATTGTAAGAAGAGGGTCCCTCTTGGCACAAGGGTAAGAGGCGTAGGTGACCTTGGTTAAAACACATAGCGCTAAGGGGAGCAAACATATTAAGAACAGTATGCTATATACGCCAGGTCCCTTGAAACATATGCTGTGCAGATGTTTCTAT